CGCCTGCCCATACCCAGCGTGGCTGCTTCTCCGCAGGCCCAGTGCTGCTTGTTTCCAGATGCTTACAGATGCTTTCTTTTCAAAGGCACGGACAGATGGCTGCGAGCAGTTGAGTGAGTGTATCTGAGTTAGCACAGCTGAGCTGTGAGGTGGTAACAGATCCCTGCGTTCTCCTGGGCTGGGGCAGGTGGAAAAATCCCGTAGGATGGCCCCAGAGACCACTCAGGATAACCTGGTTTATGTCACGTTTGTTGTGAAGGAGGAGGGCTGGTGCAGCCCGGTGTTCGATTTCAGTGATGGGAGGTGGCTGAAGGTGTTTCAAGAGAATTATGTGTTTCTGGCAATCTTAAAAACCAGGGCCTGATTCTGCATCCTCCAGCCAGCGTGATGGTGGGTGCCCTGGACCACCCTGCAGCAAGTCTGTGTGCCCAACCCGTACCCTGCGAGTAAGGTTCAGTAAGGTTCTTGGCAAAACCCAGCAGGGATGGAAAAGCATCGGGCTGACGTGAAAGGAAGTGCAGAAATGTGGTGGTTTGAGATGGGCAGGGGTAGAGGGAGGGGATGGATCTCCCACCCTGCGGTTCTCCTGGCTTTGGGTCCGGGCACTGGCTGGGAAGGGCAGGGCTGTCCCTAGGTCCGTGTAGGGGTTTAGGGGCCACTGACCGCCTGTTGCTGCTGTATTTCAGGATTTCCCCTCTCCCTGGGGCAGAGAGATGGATGTAAAGCCCAAAGCACCACGGTTCAGCCCCTCACCCCTGGCAGCTGCCGCTCCAGATGCAGGCTGTGCCGGAGCTGAGTGTTTGCTAAGGATGCCTCCTTGCCAAGAGGAGGGCTGAGGAGCAGTCGAGGGGCTCGCTGTGCTGTGCGTGCGCAGATGCTGTTTCCAGCAGCACTGTGTTTATAATTTCCCTTCTCAATGGACCTCCCCTGCTCTGCTCTTGGTGCCGTTGAACTTGCCCCCGTCCCTCCTCCCTGCCCTTTGCTCCGCGTCCTTCCTCCAGGAACGCGCCACGCCATGGAAATAGCCCCAGTGTCCATGTCTGTTTGCATGCACACGTGTGTGCAACGCTCACACCCCCGTCCCTTGCTGCTCAGGCTTACCACACGCCTGTGGGTGCCAGGTTTGGTTCCTGCCTTGCCCCCTCAGTGCGCTGAAGAGCTCTGGGCTCCTTCGGGCCTGGGGCTGGGAGCCCGGGAAGGGCAGGGAGTGAGGAGCCCGGATCCGGTGCCGCCAGCTTCCCATGCTTCCCATCCGTATTGCTCTGGGTCAGGCGTGGGGAGAGCTGTGACCTCGCCGTGGCAGCCGGAGGTCCATTCTGCAGAGCTGCCCTTGCACCCGGTGTGGAGGGGTCCCCAAAGCCACCCCGGGGTCTGGGCTCGTCCTGCAGCAACGCCTGTGGCCCTGCACCCACCCTGGAGACGTGCCCAGCCCTGAGATGCTCCTTTGCTGTCCTGCTGCCCTCTCCGCACCGCTGCTTTTCTGCAGCCGTGTCAGGCGTTTCCCCAGCGCGGCATCGGCCAGTTTGGGGTTGGTTTGGAAAGTGGAGGAGAGCAGCGTCGGGAGGTCTCGTCCCAGCTGCGCAGTGAGTCGGGGGCTGTGGGGAGGCTCTGGCTTCGCCCCTGGGTCGCTCAGAGGGGGCAGAGCTGCCCTGCTGCCTGGCAGGGCTGCCTGCTCATTCCAGGGCAGGTTACAGCGAGCCTGGGCTTGTTTTGGGATGGGGCACTGTGCACAGAGCGATCCTGAAACGCGGGTCCAAGGGTGGTGCCGCTCCGCTGGCACGGGGACGTGAGGAGGCCAGGGGGGCACAGCCGGCAGGGCTGACCCCTTCCCCCTGCCCAGCCTGAGCTTCGTCTCCGCCTGGCCCCTGGCAGGGCTGGGGGGGAGGCGGAGGGGCAGCAAGCTGTGGGTCCGTGCCTGCGCTGTACCCCCAGCCTCGGTTTTCTGCCTGGCTGGGCTTCTCACACTCCCGACACGCTTCGGGGAGGGGGGGG